CCCAAGATAGATATTATTTTGAAGCTGTTCATTGAATACATTACAAAACCAATATACACTTGCTTAATTATATTCTCAAGGATTTTTGACATTACCATCAGATAATATGAGTAATCAATTATGGGAATGCTTCAAAAATACGTATAATGCAAACAAAAAAGGACAAGATGGATGTACTCGAATTCTATCAATAATTGCAAAAGAGTTTACCTATACTAAGTTGGAAAAAAAACTTGGTGTTAGTATACATTATTTTAAAATAAAACATACAAAAAAAAAAAAATAAAAAATAAAATAAATATATTATGCCAGATTTCTTCAAAGACCATATCTAGTACTCGATTATATGCTACTACTAATAGTCCTGGTTGCCCTGCACTATGCAAGCCAACAATTACTAGAGTATGCTTATCAGAAGAATTGCTGAATTAACTTATGACATTTTTACTTGACAAAAATGTTGCAACACCAAGTTCCTATAAAGTTAATGCAGCAACTGGCTTGCCTGTAATGTATTTAAAGGATACTAAAAAATCATTATAGCACCAATTTTTTGAATTGTATCCAAATGGAATGAAGCGGACAGCTTTTATGACCCACTTAAAAAACAGTAGATTCGTTTATTGTGATAATCTTGGTGAACTATACTTGATCTGTAATGAATATGGATTTGGTATTTTTAAAGATATGATTACACTAGTTCATGAAAAAATTAAGCAAAAAAATACTCAGGTTCGCTATAATAATTTATAAAAAAATATAATTAATGTTAATTTTAAATTTAAATCTAAATATTGTAATTAGAATGAATTAATAGCTTAACTAGAAGTAACTCAACGTTATTTGAAATGAGAATATGAAAAAGAATTGACAATAAATACATTGGGGCATGTTCAACATGATGATTATAATGAACATTATTTAAAATTTGCATTTGGAAACTGTAACGAAGAACATTCGAAACATTGCAATAAATGTAACAAAGTTGATTTAATTTTTCAGCAAATTCTACAAATCCTTCCTAATAAAAAAGAAAAAATAATTGAGAATCGTGCCAAATTACAATATTACTGGGCTCACCAAGCTAGAAAAACTTATTTTAATGTATAGTTTAATGCAGCATTACTCCGTTTAGATGAAAATGGTGCTGTTATCATAGCTGACTATAAAATGAAAATTTTACCCCAGTCAGCACGAGAAGTAAAATCAGATTTTTTTGAAAAAAAAGAATATACATTACATATATTACTGGTATATACAAAAAAAACTAATGATTCTACCTTATTAAATGTTGAAGTTTTGGACCATTGGTTAGCTAATCCAATACAAGACACATAGTTCACTGCATCTTCTTTTGATGCCTTGTTTTCTACAATGGAGAAAAAACCTTCCTGGATAGAAATTCTTTCAGATAATGGCCTACACTATCATAACAAAGAACTAATAATAATAATTAGTCAATGATTCAAATGGTATGATATAGAAGTAAAGTCATAGATTTTTTTAGAACCTGGTAAAGCAAAAACTACAGTGGATTCCCATCATGCACAGGTAATATTTAGTTACAGAAATTTTTAGAAAAGTAATTACTACGATATATGATCCTGTAGAATTACTTAGCAATTATTTCTCTAAAAAATAATTTGCTATCAGTTACTTATAATGACTAAAGCACCAAAATAACTCATATGTTTTAGTTTGATTGTTATTTGTTAGATAAAGTTATTTGAGAGAAATATAATTACTACAAAATAATAAGCTTGATTATAGTAAATGCTAAGTTACTCACTATTTTTATAAACTATCTATTCAATAAATTTAAAATGATTAGATTGTACACTCCATAAAATGCTATGTTCGTCTTGGATATAATATTCAAAATGAAAATGATATAGTAGATACAATCAGAGATATAAAAGGAACATCTGTTGCAAATATTAACCCTAGTGAACAACCAAAAAAAGCAAAAAAAATAATATCTATCTTGGA